CAGAAATCTCTCTCTACAAAAGCTTTACAGACTATGCTAGTCCTACCCAAACACAGCCATAGCAAACTCCCTTCACCACTACAATACTCTTTTACTATCTTCTTCAAAGCGATTTTGACTCAAAACAAACATCCATGCTTGACGCCTCCTCTGTATTAGGTAGTCTGTTATTACATCCCTAGGAAACATTACTCCATTACCTTTTTAACCTCATTTCCCCCCTCCAGCTGTGTTCAATAGCTGTGTTTCCAGTGCAGTTGCTCTTCTATCATATTTCCATTACCCAGGAGCAAATTTTGCATCCTTACTCCTGACCAAAAAAATGCCCTTCTGTTTTCCGGGCAAGCTTCAGATTCCCCGCGTCTGGGTGTCCCCAGTCTGCATGTTCAGGCTCCTTGCAGAATCCTTGGCTTTGCAATGGATTCCTTGCAGGATTTGTCATAATGGCTGCAAAATCACCCTTCTTTATTGAGTCACAGCCCCGATTTCTTCACAGATTACAGTTCGTGGCTGTTTCCACTGCATTGCCTTTTCTTTTCTCCAGAGAACACCCATTTCTCTTTGCTTTCTTATCTTCTGTAAATGCCTGTCACTTTTGTTCATTCTCCAGCACACCGACCATAGTCCTCTATGCATTTTTTCCCCCCTCTGCTAGCTCACATCTTTCCCCTCTTCATAATCACTAACTTCCAAGAGTCACATTCCCTATGGAGCTCTCCCCTCCACTTTCTCTCTTCTCTGGTGGTATCTGCAGCGCTTCAGTTGCACGTGCACCCACTTTTTCCTCTATCACATCTTCAAAAAAGCCAATCTGAACACTAGAACCACCTCTACTTGCAACTCCGACTGATTTCTCTCCTCCACGAGCTCTATCAGGTAACTTACTGTCCGTATAATGTCCTCCACTGATCACACAGTGCCACAGAGCTAATTTCAGAAAATATCATGTGGAGACTACAGGAAATACTGCAGACTTCTTGTTTAAAATAGCAACCAAATCAAAAGTTCAGCATTGACCCTGTAGTGTCTTCATTGTTGGGCCCAGTGAGTCAGCTGTATCTGTTTAATTTTAACTGCTTCTCAAGAGCTTTTGATACTGGCAGTCTCCTTGTTGATACGGTTGAATTAATTGTTGTCCATGAGCAAAAGCATTCATTAACATGGGAGTGAAATGCAACACAATCTGACACAAAGCCATACTAGGGTAAAGTCAGCTGAAATTTCTGATACAGCTCGGTTGGAACCGGGTTATTGGCTTCACTTCACCTTCTGCATGGTGGAGACTGCTATGAAGCAGGGGGAAGCCTGAATGTATTGAGCATCACTTCCCATACCTCCCACCCAAATTTGTTATTCAGTTAAAGAAGCTTAAAAAAGTAATTGCAAAATGAAAAGTATTTGTAAGGACAACATGGACATTCTTTTCATTAGCAAATTTTCAGGAATGGATATGTTTCCGGTCACAGGCTTTAGTGGGAACAAAACGGCTAAAAATCTGTAGGACACAAAAATCATTTATTATACTGCAGAGCTTTGTTGGATTATTGCTCTGCTCATTTCTGCATCAGAAAAGGTTGCTGAATCTTTATCATTAAAACACATTTACATAGATTTTTTTTCAAGCAGTAACTATACTCCTTTTGGGGGAGGTCTTTACGATGCGCTTGTGATTAGAATGGCCCCCAGCGCTTCACTCATGCAACTCTCCAAATTTTTTTTTGTTAAATTGCAGAGTGATTTTAAGCAAACCCTTTCATTTTTCCTAAGCTTAAGCAACCGCCAGTCTCAAAATTGACTGTGTCAGAGCTTGCTTGTTGGCCTGGCTTTGGCAGTCATCCCCATAAAGAATTTCCTTCATGATTCCCCTCAAAACTCTATGGCAGCTGAAACGGCCCTACATTTGCTCATAACATGGCCAAAGCCAGAGACCAGACCTGTCCTGGGAAGATGTTTTCCTTGTTTTCTTTCTTTTTTTTTTTTTTTAAAGTCAGAATAGTGATGACAAGCTAATTCTAATGGCTAATTTTAACCCCCTTTTCAATACAATCAAAAGTTCAGAGTTTCTCAGAGACGTGGATGTGGTTGAACATTAAGAAAATTATATCCCATAGCATGTTCTTGGAAATTGCAAAAAACAAAACAAAAAAACAACCTCCCCCCAAAGCAAAAAAACCCCAAACCTCCAAAAACTAAAAAAAAAAAAACCACAAAAACAAAAACCCCACAAAAACAAAAAACCCACCAAAAAAACCAAACAAAAAGCACCTAAAAACAAACCCCCAAGAAACAAACAAAAACCAATTTTGCTGAAACATTTCAGATTCAGGCACATGTAAAGCATGACAGTTGCCACTTTGGTGGTTGCACGTGATTAAGCAAGGAGCTCGTTTGTAATAGAAACTATTAGCCAACCTTAATGACAGCTCGTTTGTAATAGAAAGTATTAGCCAACCTTAATGACAAGCCTCACTACTTGTTCTGCACAGAGGACACAGCAGCAGCTTCTGCCTGTAGGTGAAGCCAACTTCCCCTTTCCATTGATACCTTGTGTATAATTTGATGGGTATATTTATGGTAACCACCATAGCAAACTGAATGTTTTAATATTCAGTGTATCTGGATGTAAAAAGTGGATTTTTCCCCCTCATTAGCAGAACTGTATTTGCACAATTACCAAACTTGCAGAAATCTTGATAAATTTTCACTATATTAAATGAGCTCCACACTTGTCCACACACAATCTAAGAGAAAATAAGAGCTATGACAAGAAAGTCAGAACTGGTCAGGACACGGGACAGCCTTCCTTGGGCTATAAGTACTACTATAAATAGCATTTGCATAAATAGCGTTACTTTGCTACTAATTGCAGAGCGTTACCAGAGTCTCTGGTATACACTGTGGATTAGCTGCCGCTTCACAAGTTAAATTTAACTTGTGCTTCCTTAGCATTTCAAGGGCATTAAGGTGTCTTTTTCTCTGTAAAGAAGCAAAGAAACAATTGGCAAAATGATCAGGAAGAACTAACTCTGCAATTACTACAGTTATTTGGAGGGCTTTTTTTTTTTTTTCTTTAATGCTTACAGCGCAGAAACAAACCTCCCTTTCAGAACTGGTGAGAAAAAAGTGCAGGAGTTACTTCTTGCTTTGTATTTCTCCAAATTGGTGTTTGCAAAAATATCTAATTATGCCACTTGTCACAAAAAAGCCATTTAGCTGAGCATCCTGAAGTTCACCATCTGTTTACAATGGATAGACCGCAATCATCTTCAACTGATCATAAGCTAACCAGCACATCATTGGTTTTCTGAAGAACATTATTCCTTTGGTTCTGTCATCACAGATTTTTAGAAATGAAGGACTGGAAGAAATCTCAAATAATTTAATACAAAACTCCTAAATAAATAAAGCACAATCAAAATAAAGCAGAATCAAGTGTACCTAGATCTCCCCTAAATGATACTTGCCTAAGCATCTCTTACTCATCTCCTCAGCATGTAAGAGCAACCATCGAGGGCCAAGCCAAAGCTCCATCTAATCCACTATCCCACCTTTGATAGTTCCCCTGCCTTGATAGTAGATGCTCGGAGAAGAGTACAAGAATGCAGCATGCGTTTATGGTATCTGCTGCCTTGAATGTTCTCCTAGCCCCCTTCAGACTTCCTAATCCAGAGGAAGGTCCTAGGTATGGATTTCTTTTCCATTAACTTCTCTGATCTCCTTTTGAATGTTTGCAAACATCTAAAATTTTTTTTTTTAAAACCACAAACCACCCACATTGGAGGAGCCCCCCCTACCTCCTGCTAGCTTCCTCGGGGCCCTCTGGCTCTTGCACTGGCAAGAGGCAATGAGCAATCCATCCCCATTCATCCTACTCGTGCGTCCCAGGATTTTACAGGTCTGTATTATAATCCCTTTTATCATCTCTTTGCCAGGCTAAAGAGTCCACGCCTACTTCACTCTTTTTCAAATGGAAGCCATTCCCTCTTTTAATCATTCCTTTTAAGACATTCTTTTTAACAGTTCCTAGGGATAATATATAGCTTTCAAGTTGAGAACTGGAACAGCCCCCAGCATGAAAAGTGCCGCCAAACCATGGATTCATTTTGCTAATTTTTTCAAATAATTCCTAATATCTGTTTTTTTTTTAATCACTACTGAACTCTGAGCAGATATTTTCATGGAGGTTAAAAACAAAAATCTATTACAGAATCGTGAATTCCTCCAAGTAGCAAAAACACATACAGCTAGCCCTTCCCAGTGTGAAGGCAGAAGATTTCTCAGCATCTCTCAATGGCCTATTCTAGTGTTTCACTGCCCTCACAATTCAAAACAAAAAACACAAACAAAACCAAAACCTAATAGTCATGCTGAATTTTCCAAGCGTTTGTTTTGTTTGTTTTAATCTCATTACCAACAGTCCTAGAGAACAGCTGACTTTGCAGCACTGTTTTCTGGAGCACAGATGCTTCTTTTCTGGATTTTCTGGATCCAAGCTTTCCACATTACATTGAGGAGGACAGTAACTATTTTACTTTTCTGATTTCTTCTCTCTTCTTCAAGTCATAGAAGCTACAAATAGAGCAGGGTCCTTTGAATGAGGGCTCTCCAAGCCCACATGGAATAAAATAACATGTTGCTCTTCTTACATTTCCCAGGAAGATTTATTTCTTCTGGGAAAGTTTGCTGACTTGCACTCAATCTGTTCCACTATAACACCCAGATCTATTTCCACGGTAATGCTATCTCCCCATTTATCTCCATTTTGTCTTTGTGCACTACTTAATTTCCTGCATTTGTCTTTACTGAATTTCATCTTATTGATTGAGTTGGACCATCTCGCCAACTCATCAAGGACACGTGATTTTGAGCAATACATTCACAGTATATTAAGTGACATCTCCACAGAAAACAATCAAAGTCTTTAGTTAAAAAAAAAAAAAAAGTGATATTAAGTATCTCCAGTTCACACCTTTTACAAGATAAGAAAATTATGTACTTACTCTCTGTCTATGACAAGACAAGTTACGGCTTCAGCCGCAATGACATTGGCTGTTCTGACATCCTCCCTGAAAGAAAAGCGAGCAATATTATTTTCATTACCATCTTTATGCTTCAAAACATGCTTCATTATTAATACATGTCCAGAATAAGAGTATAGGTTTCACAGCTATTTTGACAGATGTTCATTGTTCATACAAGCTTTAAGCATATGACAGTTAACAAAAATACATGAGTAGGGAAAAGCAAAAACAAACAAATAAAAACAGAAGTAGGCTCCCCCTGTAAATAAGGGATTCAGCCATGTATCAGCCTATGTCTTTTACTTGTTTTAGGCAGTCTGGTTCCTTACTACGTGCACCAAAACAGAGTTATCAACATAATAGTGCATTTTATTCAAATGTACTGAAAAATCTTTCCACTTACGAGCCATAAATGGTTAACAGGCAACACAGACCCACCTCTTTCAGATGCATCTAATTCATTTAGACTAGGAAATTATTGTACGTCTCCAATGAAGTATAAAATAAGATTTAAAAATGCTAATAGAAAAAGTGGTTACACTGTTTAATGTTTGGAGGGTTTAGAGGAGAACTAGAGTTGCATTACTGTGCGGTGCATGCTCACTCATACATGAGCATGTACTCTCCCTACCTTGGCTCAAAAAGAGGCACCTAATTTTTTTTTTTTTGGGGGTGGGGGAGGGGGAAAATAGCTTTAAAACAGGATAAGCAGAAAAAACAGATGAAAAACAATATTCAGGCCTACATTTGAATACTGTAAGTGCATCTGTTTTGAATAACTACGTGCTAGTGCTAATTTTTCAAAGACAGAAAAATTGTGATAATTAAAAGGAAATAGAAAGTAGCTGCCTAATAGCAGTATATGTATATCTATTAACATTTAAAGCTTTGGTAAATATAGATAGAATACAGAATTATAATATCCAATATTCTGTTAAGTTGCTGTGCCCACTTTCGACAGTATATGAATACGTTAGTAAGCAAGAATTTCAAGTTTTTGGTTGTTCACTAACTCCATTTAAAATCTTAACATACGCATCCTACTAACTCCATTTAAAATCTTAACATAGGCATCCTATTATCACCAATGCTGTTTCATCACAAAGAGACACTTAACCTTTATTGCCATTTTCAGATTATAGACAAGTAAAATAGAGGTGTTTATGGCTTCAGGTCAAGTGTTTTAAATAACCCCTCACAGTGGAGATTAAAATGCACAGATAATTGATACAATTTCCACTATTTTGTGCATAATACCACTTTTTTTTTTTTTCCAAATCAGCACGACGTTAACATAGACTGAATGCACTTTCCAAAGCATACTTGATTTAGAACAAACACACAAGCTCCAGAGCTGTAGAGGCTCTTACATATGCAGAAAGACACAGGATTGCACTCTGCAAAAAAAGAAAAAGGAAGGGGGAAAACAAAACAAAAAACCCCCACAGAACTCCACTCTGCTGCTGAGGAATGACCCAATCTGTGTTAAAAACAAAAAACCCCACAACCCCCACAGCATTCACTCCTGCCTGCGCGCTCCACAGTCACCAACTATCCCACCAGAAAAGGAAGAGGTGCCGTTAGAAGTATGTCAAAAAAGCATTAAGGTACCGACCAACCAACAACGGAAAGCCAAGTCGATTTTACTGCCGTTTCAGTGCCGCTGACCACAGTCTGCACTGCTTAATCACAGTGGGGCAAACGCTCCGTTATCACTAACACTGGAGACAGCTGCCCAGAGAGAATCGATTTCACAAACCAAAAGGGGGGCAGGAAAGCGCAGGATCCCATCATTTTCTGCATTTCAGGGAAGCTTTGTTTCTACAGCCTAAACAAATATCAATTTGAAAAGTGTTTCATGAACCTCACGGTTCATGAAAACGGCCGCTTTCAGGGGAGTTCACCCATCATGCTGTAATTGGGGTTTAAAAAAAAAAAAAATCTAATCAAGCATCTAAAAACAGAAGGGTGAAACAGGATGAAAAGTCAACGTATTTTGAGTCCGACAGAAACATTTCTCCTTTTGGTGCATCCGCTGTGAAATGCATGACACACACAGCCTGCATCTATGCTCAAGCATTGTCTATAGTTAGCATTTGCCCACAGATTGACAAACCTATCGCGAAACATGCAGCCGACCTAGCTTATTAAAGCAAAACATCAGTACGCGTGGGAAAGGTAATACTCAGAAAGCCAGCCACTAGCCACGGTGAACCCCGTAAAACCCAACCATCTGCGACTTTAAAGTACTTCTTGCAAGCACTGACTCCAAGATTTTCCTGACTTCGTCACCAGAGTATTCATCGCTGCTTCCCGAGAAACAGCGCTCTTTGTCAGAAGAATCACTTTCTCTGTCTGAATAATCCATCGGCAACGATCGCCTTCACCATTTTCTCCTAGGAAAACTCCTGTTTTCTCCTGGCTGGTTACTTTATTTGTCCCCTGGACCAGCTCTGGAATTTTACAGCCCTTCGAAATTGCAACTCGCCAAAGGTCACAGCTGCTCAGGGGGTTTCTGCCGCGCATCCCTGGGAAATATAAGTAGAGGATATTTTTGAGCCACAAAGAAGTAGACATTTAATGCAAGCAGGCAGCGCTCCCATCACTGGCACGCTCTCCCCCAAAACGTGCCTGCTGGCAAAAGCCGCTGTTGGAAAAAAAAAAAAAAAAAAGGGGGGGGGGAGGTCTTTTACGATAGCGCTTACTTAAACCGATGCTCACGAGCCCTGCACTGGCCTCAGACTCCAATATCTAGCAAGTCTTGGGGTGACTTTTTGTCATGCTGAGCACTTTCAGGGAATGCAAACGTCTTTTTAACCCTAAAGATAACGAGAATCCTCTCTACCAGCCCCTAAAATTGTCAAAAAGAAAAAAGCCAAACTCCTAAAACTCTTCAAAAACGTGTCTTACATCAATATAAACATATGACTATGTTATTTAACAGCAGAAAAAGTATGCACGCGGGAAGAATTTCATGTTTATAGTTTGCCAGCCAGTTTACCACAGATAGCTCAGTAGGTTTCAGCAACTTTGTTCTGATAAGCTGTCAACAACCAAAATTAAGAAATACGATTTTTTTTAAAAGCTATTTCCAGGAAAATCTGATAAACCTTTATTGATCACGCCGTCTTTATAAAGCACTGTTCAAAAATACTAATACATAAGATATAGGGAGGTTTCATTAAGGATAAGGTCATTTGTCACCTTCTGCTCCCGATTCTATTTGCTCAGATTGTAGAAGTTCAACTTAGATTTTTAATTCTTTGAGACGATTGCTATCTTTTTACTTTACTACCATTCCACATCCCCTAATTCAGCCGAGTCTTGCTCCAACACCGGGTCTTATTGGTCCTGCCCCACCATACCCCTTACTAACGCCGATGCAATTCTTCAAATAAACAGAAACCATGTTTTGGAAGGTTTAATTCAACAATACACCACCAAATCTGCTGTTGCAACTTCAGTAAACTTCAGTATGTTATTTCCAGAGCACGGACACAAAATGGTGCAAACTTAGCACTATGTTCGCAAGGCTTCTGGGATCAATACTTCCCCCACCAGGTGCATGGGCTCCCTGCACAGAATAGCATTTGTTATTAGGTGTGAATACACTAACATGGGAAGTATCAAGTTTACAACTGAGCCTCTTCTGCTGTTCTCTTGACTGGCATTGTATCAGTCCTAATTAACTTCAAGGTTTAAAAAAAAAAAATAAAAAAGAGAGAGAGAAGTGTTTTTAGGTTGTGGGTGGGCAATAGCCTCTCCTTAAAGCATAGAGCTAGGGCACGTTTTTCCATAAGACGACCAAATTTGGACACCCGTTCGCAGAATACCCAGTAAAGATGGTTTTTGCCTCCAATTTAGAAAACGTCAGGAAATGTACAGTCAGGGAATGATGAACAGTACAGTCAGGGAATGATGAACAAAATTTAAGGGGAGACAGCTGTGTTATTTTTGAGCTATTACCACTAAATGGTAGTTGTTAACTGATTCCCCCCCCCCTTCACTTACTTCAGACATGTGCCCTCCTAAATACCTCAAATGAAGCTCATTGAGAAGACCATGCTAAGAAACACTCAGGGCCAGATTCTGATCCATCTACACTTGGTGGATGGTTAAGCTCCTCCCATAACCTTCTCAGATCAGGATGGGTTATCATCATTTTTAGAGAGAAAAAAACCCGAATGCTAAGTTTACATTTTGGTAACATTACTTGCTAAGGCTTCTATATGAACTCATTTAAAAAAAAAAAAAAGTCAATGCAGCCTCTGGCCCCTTGCCTTTTTTTCCCGGGGCTATATAGGTTATAGAGGCATCACTACAATCTCTAGCATGGGTTACATGATCCATACACATTTTTAGGTACAGTAACAGAGTTTGCAGTGACTTTATATACAAGCCATTAGCCCTTTGGCAGTCTTCAAGACAATTTAGATGGGGTGGTCATCGCTTTCCTGGAAAGCGCACTCTGATTATGAGAGGTGCCTCCCGCAGGCAGTATTATCTGCAAGATTCTTATAAATGAAATTGTCACCTTACCTACATGGAAGCAAAAATTAGGGTTAATTTGACGGTACCCTCAGTTGTTACAAGCATCAATCAGCATATACCTACATAGAGGAACTATCCGATGAGATACGTAACTCATTTCAAGTGAAGCTGTTTCCAAGTTATGTGGTTTTTTTTTTTGTTCATTTGTTTAAATCTAAGAAAATCTACATTGTTACTACAGGAAAAGGCATTTAAAAAAAAATCACAGCTTCTATAAGAGCAATGAAATATAAAGTAAAACCTCTTTGTTATGAGAGTACCACGATTTGAAGGTATTATCAAAACACACATACACTACTAAAAATACTACCCTGCAATTTTGGTTATATGGCTACTGGGAAAGGAAAACATTTCTTATAGAACAACACTTGAATTCATTTAGACAACACAGTTTACAAATATTATTTACAGGGTTTTTTTGTAAATTCAAAAGATGTAAACCGTAGAACTCTCCAAATAGCATATATTTAGCACTTATTTTGTTTCTAGAATTA